CACAGTGGATCCATTCCTGAAATCAATTTATCAGTTAATGGACAGGACTAGATCAGGACTGGTCTACTCAGTTCTCGTTTGGGTGCTGTTGGTGTCTCGAAAGCCGTCATTCTCTACACAGTTTCCTGAGTCAGTTCTGACGCCTGTCAGTTCTAAGTTTGGCCTTCCAGGATTTTCATAGGGAGACAACGGCTCACTCTTTCTCTTAGAACTCCGCCAGGCGCAGGAAAGATCTGCCTCGAAGTCAATACAGTACTGAGGGGCAGCTCTGGCTATAAGTTCGTGCATTCTGGCCCGGAATTTGGCGTTTTTTTTGTAATAGATAACGGTGTTGACGAAGCTGTTGCAGATAAGCCACCAATATGTGGCAAATGAAATCACCTGGGGGATCTTCTTGCCACCTACTGTGAGAATGAACACCACCACAAAAGGGCACATATGAATTATTACTGCAATCATCATGAGCCTCACCATGCGGTCAAGTTTTAGGGAGGTTTGAGACGTGCCGTTAGCCAGGGCAGACTCTTGGCTCGCCGTGGAAGACTGCGCGATGGCAGGCACCATGGCGGCTCGTCGGCGGGCACTTTCCTTCAGCTTTCTTTTAGCTATTGCCGATGTGACAAGCATAATAATGATGCACGGGAGCACCGCCGTGACGAGAAGCACAAGACTAAATGTCGAGTTTTCTGTGAAAACTGACTGGCATATGTAGAGTTGGGGGGAGTAGAAGTGAGGAGGAAGACCAGCAAAAATCGTCGTAAATACTGAAGCGACCAGCAACCAGCACATCGCGATGGCGATGGACACAGTCTTCTTGGTCACCAGGTGGCCAAACTTCAGAGGGTGGGCCACAGCAATGTACCGTTCGATGCTGAGGAGCATCAGAGCCAGGCCCGAGTTCATCAGCGCTACCTGACCGACATAGGCCGCAATAAGACAGACCGTGTCGCCGTAAGGCCAGGCATCGGCCGTACCCTCCAAGGTAGCAGACGGGTAGATAGACAGAACAGACACGCAGCCCACAAGGAAGTCCGCCACACTCAGGGATATCAACAAGTACCCATGGCCGTTGCGGAAAGACGGTGTCGACATTAGAACCACTAGGTTGCCTGTGTTGGAAATCAAGACTAAGAATGATACTGCAATGACTACCATCACTTCCAGCAGACAAACGACGACATTGGGACACGCGTAAACGAACGTAAAATCGTCATCTGTAGTAATATTTTCCATTTCTCTGCCTACAATAGCCCATTAGCGTGTTCCGAACGTTTGTACCTGCTACTAGGCAAATAACGAAAAACGCTCTTGCCCACAGAAATTAGAACGGCACGTACACTGCCAATACCAGTTGACCTAACAGAGTTCAACCACATTTGTAAGGTCAAATGGCGTGTTGGCTATGATGAAAAGACGTCCTTCAAACATCACTGCACTTCCTCAACTTCCCTTATGCGAGTACACGGCACAACAATGGAACCGTGTGGATGATTAAATCACACGTGTTTTATTTGCGAACCTTGAGCGTGCTTTATTGTATAGGGAAAACTTGCTTAAACGCCCACCACTAGTTGCCTAATAATTTATGTACACTGCAAACCGCTCCGAATCCTACAACTTGTACAAGCGTTCTCCAAATTCCCATGTGATTTCCCAACTGACCTTGCGGGACATGAAATGACAGTGGGCTGGTGAAAAAAAACACAATACCTCCCGCATTAGTGTGATGGAAATATTTGGCCGGTTGTTAAATACATTGAAAAGGCATGGGCGTAAATACCGGGGGAGAGGACACGCCCCCTACTTTTTGAGAGGGGGAGATGGACTATTGTGAAGACTTTGTTTATTATTTCCTAACGAGTAAATGTTTGCAATATCACTAAATAGGGAAAACAGTTTTAAAAGCCATAAATTGCCATTCTGATGTAAGATTCTGCATGAATGTGATACACATCTACTAATGTACTTCTTTATCGTGAACAACGCCCCCACACAGTGGCATAGCGAAGGTATTTTCTTTGGAAGCGCCAGAATCAATTTGCCGACTTGTACCAGTGTTTGCCAGCCTCATGTCATGTAAAATTCACAAAGTGATCCGTAATGGTATGCTACAATTCATACTTCAAGGGAAATACCGACCGTCAACGCGTACGTTTGAAAATAATGTCGCATACTTTCGTAAGATGTAAAAGTCGGGGTTTGAAAGCAGAGGGCGCACTTCAAAAATCGCGGCAAATTCACTGCATGTGCGGTCGTTTGTGCGAACCCTCAAAGGGCCAGGATATTTTGACCCATTTCAAAGGGGGGGGGGGTTCCAACTCCTTAAGAACTCGGCTGTGCTACGCCGGTTTTTTTTAAACTTAGCATACATTTACAGATGGACACTCCTTATCATTATAGACGTTGTCCAGGAGAGCGTGTAGAATTTCAACAGCTCTAAAAAGTGTACTTTTCAAGGCATTCAATCAAAAAAGCAATGTTACAGTAAAGGGTTTTTGTACATTGAAAAGGAGTCTAAAGTTCAATCGTTTTGTCGAGAAATGCAACGATGATCCATGAAAAACGCAAAAAAGAAGGGGAGAGACTCAAATCCTTTAATGACGTGTTGTGGCTCACAGTTGTCAGTGTGCCTTGTAGGTATCGCGCGCCCTTTTAGTTTAGGGCGTGCAACAAGCGTGCATGCGCACTCCATTTTCAAGCAACCAACTTTTTTCGTGCAAGCAGACGACGCTATAGCGCAGACTTTTTCAAGGACTGACCTCGTAAAATGCCAAACCATGGCAGCACAAAGGACTTTTGTGAAAATCTAAACACGATACCACGAACAACACACACTTTCCCTCCATTCAGAAAATTTTTATCTAACCTCACCATGCGGTAAAGTTTGAAGGACTTTTTAGAGGTGCCACCAGACGAAACGGACACTTGGCTTGCGCGCGACGGTGTGATGGCAGGTACTCTGGTGGCTCGTCGGCTGGCGCTTTCCTTTAGCTTCCAACTGACTATTGCCGATGCGACAAGCACAATATGATGACAACTGAAACCACGTACATGATTAAACCAAAAGTTTGTATACATCGTCTTTTTTCCTGTGTAATTATTTCATAATAAAACGGAAACATCTACATTGCGCAAATATACAAATACACGCAACTGCGCATAATAATACTCATCACTAGGTGAGGTGTAAATGAGTTTTTGGAAACAGCTTCTTTAAAGAGATGAGTTTTTAGAACAATTTTGAATGCGTCTACAGATTTGGCATTTCTTAAATGAAAAGGCAGGTTCATCCAAAGCCTAGAGCTGCACAAACAAATGCACGGTCTCCAAGAGTAGCCTTAGTTCTACAATATGGTTGAGGATCAACCTGTCGAGTGAACTGTGAGACAGTACACTACATATGTGGCTGGGATTTAGTGACCTGTAATATAATTCAGAGATGTATAACCCGGTGTTGAGTCACGCAAAGCCTTAAATATTTAAATATATTAAATACAAGTCTTTGTCGAACAGGCAACCAGTGCCATTTAACCAGCAATAGGGGAAATGTGCCAGTATTTGACAGAGTTAAACACAAGTCTAGCACACGCAATCTGCACTCTCTGTAGCTTTGAAACTTGGGAATTGGGAAGTCCATATAGTAAATTATTACAGATAGTTTTGCAGATAGTAAAAGGCACCCTTAGTTATGTTTCGATTCATATTAAGGTGGGAACCTGACAGCACATCCAGCCTTTTCGCAACTGTGGATGGCTGAACGCCAGCAGTTCCAACTGTAATGCTGTGGATGTTTGTCTCGGCAAGCTGCATAGGTGTTCCGACAAGCAACAGTTCTGTTTTATTATTATTGAGCATCAGTTTGTTCAAACATCCATGAACAAATGTGAGAAGTGCATTGTTGTAGCGTCGAAATGCCTATAGTCAGTTGGTTAAAGGAAATGTAGAGTTGAGTATCATCAACATAACAGTGACAAGAGACCTGAGGATAGTATCTATTTATCGCGTGTATCAGGTTACTTGTAAAAAGGATAAAAAATAAAGGGGCTCAAACAGGAACCCTGTGGGACATCTGATGCCGAATTTTCTAGAAGTTATATCACCCATGACTCAATCCATCATAGAATAGATCCCCTGATACCAAAATGAGTAAATTTACAGTGCATTCAATAATATGACATAATCAAGAGTGTCAAAAGCAGCGCTTAAATCTAGCAGGACTAGGAGAGTCACCTTTTGTTGGTCTATGGCCATGAGAAGATCACTCTCGATTCTCAACAGTGCGGTTTCTGTGCTATAAAGGTATTTGTATGCAGATACGTGTAAAAAGCCTCCATGTTCAGCAGTGTTGTAGCCGAGACATCGCAAGACCAGACACAAGACTATGCGCAAGACCAGACACAAGACCACACACAAGCAACAGTGTGAACAATGACAAAGGAATTCTTTTGTTGCAGTTCATTTGAATAGCTTGTGACTGGAATTCAGATCGGAGGTCTTGTGTTGGTCTTGCGTGGTCTTGTGAAGGTCTTAATTGGTCTCGACTACAACAACACTGATGTTCAGCTTCACTCCTTAGAAAGGCCCTGAGGGTTAAGAAACACTCAACATTTTGCCTAAAACTAGGTCATCATGGCCCACAAAATGGTTCTGGATACGCCGATATAACAGGAAAAATAGGTGCACAAAATAGCAGTCTCCTTAATACTGCAGAATCACGAGCGGTTTGAATTTAGATGAGTTACCCGTTTTCAACCTTTGCATGGACTAAAAAAAATCATTATTCATTTTGTCTTCTTCGGTGGTCCTTTTTAAACCTGCGAGTGGCGAGGTCTATTACGTTATAGTTGGCTTAGTTGTTAAACAAATATTACATGTCTATCGAACTAATGACGTATGATTTAAATTAGGTCTACAGGAGCATTGCCTTATAACATTTCGAAATGCTCTCTTTACATTGTTCAATTCAGTTTATGTATAGTTTTAGTTTGATGGCAATTGTAGACTTTCATTTAAAAGACGGTATCACAAAACAGGGTACCCGTATTAACGTTGGAATAAAACTGTCTGTACTGCAACAATTACTATGTACACTATTAGAAAGATTACCGGTGTGTTACTTAACCACGTCCCATGAAATTTGTAGACTTCAGAACTTGTATTGGAAAGCATAAAATCCTGCTTGAAGATGGTCATCTCAAGGTGGAACATATGGAGTAAAGTGGAACATGATAAGGTTTGTGCTCATTTAGAAAACGACATTTTGAATGTCATGTTCTAGGCTAGGCTTATAAATGTTTTAAAGCACTATTAGGACAAACACCAGTATGTAAAAACGAAACACCATTTGATAAAAATAATAATTATGCAGAGAGAGTGTGTTCACAAATACCTCCTGGGATGTACGTCCCTGGGTGAGGTACTAATTATGGTCATAACCTCCCAAAATACGTCAAAAGGTCTACTTTCGTTAAAACTGTAAAGGAAATATTTGTGACCTATTGGTCTGCTCTGCTTTATTCACAATTCGGCGATTTTAAATAGCAGTGTACAACCCTTTATACCTTCACAATATACCATCATGGTTGGGTAAAGTTGGAACATGTTCCAACGCTTCCACAAGCTCCGGACTTGCCCCAGTCACTTATGTAACATTAAGCAAGCTTACTGCACAAAAACACGGAGTGCAGAAACACGTCGTTGTAAGCTTAGTTTTCAGCTAAGTACCACAACTTCACATACCAAAAAATTAATCACCTTTTTCTAATGAAACATTATAAAGACAGTGCAAAATTTTGGATTGATAAACTCAAGAGAGTCAAATGTAAACTCACCTTCCCTGTTTCTATGTATAGGGAAAACTGTAGTGTATAAAGCAATATACAGTAGATGACAGTAGCCCTTGTTTGAGAACCCCCTTATGTGATTATGAACGTATTAAATATCAATCCATCCTGCTACAGCGATTTTTTTGCACCACTTTCTGACGTACTTTAACCCGACGAACGTAGCTAATATTTCGTTTACATGTTCCCTATGTCCAACATTACCCAAATACTAACTTCAGAATAAGTAAATACGTCGGTAACGTGCTTGTCGAAAATACACAAGTCCCAGCATCTGCTGTAAACATTGAGCAGGAACCTCTCGTGTGAAGACTTGCAGGCGTACGCGCAAGCGAAAAATGCACAGCATCTGCTAGTCTGGTTTCCCAGATACTGACCGTGATTTTGAGAGACCTTTGGAAAGACAAGAAGCCAGCGTAAGTTGTAAGTCTTCACACGAGAAGATCGTTTGGAATATTTACGATGAGAGTGTGGAGCTGTGACATATATAGTATTGTACAAATACGTTTCCCAAATATACAAGTATATCAAATGCTGCGACTTTTTGTGAAAAATGAAAAAACAACGCTCCCAAATTTGAAACCCCACCCAAAAAGAATAAATAAATTGAAAGGAACACTGCCTCCCCCTAGAGACGTCGCATCAAGAGCGCCCTCTGTTTAAGAGTTCCACACATGGCACGTATGTTTTCTTCCTGAACTTAGTTTTGCTTATTGTTTAGGGTCGTACATTGGAACGCCAGTCAGCTTTTGTGATGAAACGAGAAAGTCTTATGGATGATTTTGTTATTAGTTAATGATCTTATGTAATCAAATATGCAGTAGCCTTTTTCGAGCAGTGAAAAATCGTTTATCTCTTCGTGCAAAACAAACCATGATATTCTTGCAATCGGGGTTTTCACATTTTAAAAGCCAGATTCACGAACTTAAAAATCAGGTTCGCTGTGATTTTATTCTGTCACAGCAATACATTGCTTAACCAAAAGTGCAGTTGATATTCCAATAGTGTAGAATTTTGTAGGGTTTAATGGTGTCGATAAAAATCAGTTTATGATATGTCAAGGAACGATAGTCACTTCTAATGACGCTGTTACATGAAATGGCTCAATATCTCTTATGCACTTTTGGCTTTATCATACGTGTCATTTCAAACGTCCATTGCAATATGTCGGGTATTTCTTCAGGAAAACCCCTACAAGAAAAATTGTCAATGGTTTAGTTTGTACTCTATGTCGGCGTCTCCATGCGAGACTACGGTATGCACAAATACCGAACACTGGCTACGGCTCTCCACTGCTGCCTCCCTTGATCAAAATTTGAAGCCAGGAGACAGGACCGGATTATGGCTACCTCTGTCACGCGCCGCCCCATACAATCCCATGTATTAACTAAATTGATACACCGGCAAAGCTGGGTGAGCATACGTGATGGACATCACTTGACACCATGTTCCCCAATTCTAACAAAAGGGTTGTATGAATTTTATTTTGTTTCTAAGTAAACGCTTTGAAATTGGAAAATAAATTTGAATGCTAAATTTGGCTGTAGCTAGGAAATGTCATAACTTGTTGATAGCTGATATAACACGCACACTGTAGGGGAAAAATTAGAAATGTCGGCATGTGGAACTAATTCCCGTGTAAGTTGCACAAAACGTGCAAAACATCCAGAAAAATTGTCGTATGGACACTTTAACTTTTCCCACAGTTATTCAAGTTACTGTCTGCAACAAAGACAACACGCAGTACACAATAATTGCATTGAACTTACCTTATCTATTAATACTTCTCAGATGATCTTCCAAGGCCATGTAGTTTCCCAGCAAAATATTCACTGTGTGTGGTGTGTTAGGAATTTCGACAGACATTCGATACTCATATTATACTCATGTAGGCCTGACGACTTGAGTTCAGTAGACAGTAAAATGTGGTTCCACAAAATGAGCCGCTTGCTGAAAGTCCTTGCAGTTAATTGGTGTTAAAAATCCTCTTCCCCTCTCAGTCATATCGATAGCATTTAATGTAGTTTAATCCGGTATTTTTATCCGTATCTCCAACATCCGTATATAAATCCATTTGGGAGGCAGGCCCGACGAAGAGTGCGCCAACGAGTGTGTGAAGTAGGCACGAGCAATCCACCGATGACTGCAGGTATATGTGCGACTTTCTGTACATGAACAAGTAGCACTCTATGTCGTGACAAATGATGCAGGGGCATAATTCAGGGCTAGGAGTGAGGTTTTTGCACAGCCAGCTCTGAACAATGGAGCAAATTCATCTCATAGCTGAAGGCATGAGAAAGAATCAACATTTTTCTTTCTTTGTGTATCGGATAATAGCTTTGTCAGGGATTAAGTTTAAGTGGGACAAACGACTGAAAAGCACATTCTTCGATTTCTGTGAATCAAAGAATCTTCACTCTCCGTTTCTCCTCAACAGATCTTGTCACCCCTCCCCCTAAAAGGCCTTACCGACAGTTGTATAGCCAAAGGTCAGACGAAATTCCAGTGATGTTAACAAACTTTTTCGACACAAGGATCCACACCTGAACTTTTTGGGGCCAAACCTAAACTTGTTTTTTTTTGGGGGGGGGCGCAAAACTGTTATTTTGTGGCCTTTCTGAGGGTGAGGTTATAGCTTTTTACATACTTTTGAAGGAAAGGTAATAAACTAGACCAAAAAATTGCCTTTCCCCCTCTCTCTTTTAAATCGGGGGCTTCTTTGGGGGGATAGCCCCGGTTAACCCCCTGGATCCATCCTTTTCTCGATGCTGCACTTTACCGTCTAGGATGTTATTCCGCCCTTTCTATCAGACGTTCAAGGACGAACTCCCTCCAGAGAATACCAGGGCTCAAGATGGAGTCTTCCGCGCATCCGCCAGATGTTGACGAATGCCAATAACCTTTATTAGAGGGTCAAAAGCAACAGATTGGTTAATTTCCCAGCTCCATGAGCTGATCTAAGCTCATGCGATTTGTGGCCTCCTATAAAACAGGACAGAACATATTCTTCAGGGACTGCAACTAGTTACCGGTGGAAGTGCAATTTTGAGCGATTTGCGGCTTAACTTGGTAGGTTTGCTGAGGGCGACAGACTGCTCATATCAACTCAAACTACGCCTAGAGTGAATCATTGTGCTCTTGACTGATAAAAAAAGCACTAATGCCGCCGACTTATCCACATCCTGGCGTCACCAAACAAGTCTACGCTCTTGAAATCAAGATGGATGGCTCTGTAATGCGCTAGAGGGTGTGGTTTTAATCCTTGCATTTACTTTCCACTAAAGCTTTGCATTGCTTCTCCGCAAATCAAACTGGCCTTGGCATTTTGGTAAGTAGGCAAAGCGATGCCTTCGAAGTATTTCCGGGATATTTTACTAACTGAGATTCCAGTCTGTTCCAACGCTAGAAATCTGAATGAATTCAGTGTGGTCGGTTAGAACTTAAATCGCCGCTCAAGGAAGTACTTCGAGTGTATTGAGAAGAGGTTCATAAGTCATCAGGCGTTACTTTGGAGGAGCTTTGGATGAAAACAAGTAAGCTATTGCAGGTACAGTCTACACTCAAATTTATTTCAAGTACATTTAACTCTATTTAGATCTGTTTTAAATGCAGGCCCTCATTTTTGAAATGAACTAGCTTTTAATTTTCGTTTCACCCTTTCAGTTTCTGAGTGAAAAGTTTCCTTGAAGATTCACTTCTCTGATTTGAATTTGTATCACTTTGTTTTTCTTTTTCCTGATTGTACTGTGCCACGAACGTCTCTCGCCGGCACTTTATAGATATCTATTATTAGATAGATGATTCTACCAGGTTAAGGCGCCTTTCCATGTGTACAGTTTTTGGGTGCGTTGGGTACACGATGCGCTCAAGCGTTAGTAGTAGGGAAGGGACAGTTCTGGACCAAACGCCCCTTTTTACCCCGTTTTTGCTCAAAACCCTTGGGTAGTACATCGACTCAAAAAATCGTGGGAATCTTTTTGGTGAGAAAAAAATGGGAAAATCCAGAAATGAGGCGAGACCCGTTTTTGCCCACCACCCCTGGGTAGTACATCGACTAAAAAAAACCCGGGGATTTCCACTTCACTGACCTTGAACTTTTGACCCCGGCTGTAAACAACTCGTGACTTGGCAATCACTCGCAAACAAGTCTCGACTTGCCCGATCTGAACTCGTT